TCCGCCTTCCCCCCTTTTTTTTAATTACTCATCCAGACTCTGTTCCTTCTGGGTTGACCTGATCAAGTGAACTGAGGTTCTACCATATAGCAGTGTACTTACACATAAATAAAGGCTTTCTGCAATCCCAGCACTCAAGAGGCAGAGGCAGGCAAATCTCTGTGAGTTCCAGGGATACATAGTGAGACAGTATATCATAAAAAAGAGATGGCCTCAAAGTTACCACAGTGTCCTGCTAATTTTATGTAGTTATGATTTAATATTGTATCTTTACATTTGTTTACATTTATCTTGACTTCAAATGGCACCATATATGGTCTGGTGGTGTTTTATGTGTTTTTATGAATTTTAATTTTTATAATAAAACTGCTTCATGATGATAAACTATATACCTATATTGCACATTTGTAATATACTTAATTTTTAAAAGTTTCTGGGCCATGATTGTCTGCATTCTTTTCTCAAAATAAAGAATATCTCTTTCCCCAAAATTCAAGTGCAAGTGTACCCATGCAGTTCAAACACCCAGATTATGTTCCTAGAATCCACATAGTGGCTAACAATGTACATGCAGTACCCACGGAGGCTAGAAGAGGGCGTTAGAGCCCCTGAAACAGGAGTTAGGGACAATTGTTAGCTGCCATATGGGTGCCTGGAACCAAACCTGGATCCTCTGGAAGAGCAGATAGTGCTCTTAACCACTGAGCTATCTCTCTCCAACCCCTCAGATTGCATTTTTGATGACACTTAATGTTAAGGTTCAGATAGCCCTGCCCCCTCACCAACAGGGTCTCAAGGACCTCTCAAGATCCTGAGAAAAGGGACCCAAGCTGATAAGCACCCTGGTCTTTGAAGTCAAGAGAAGCAGACTTTTCTTCACTGTTTAGCCAACACGGCAGGCTTCCCCTTTGATCTCTAAAGAGGACAGGTTTTAACAGTCCTGCTCTCCTGCTTTCCCCCACCCAACTTTAAAAAAAATCTTCCTGCCTTCTGCACCCCTCCCCCACTCCCGCCCCCCCCAAGCCTCTCCTTTTAAAAGACCGCAGCTCACGACCCGCGGCAGACATTTTCCCTGCCAGGAAGGGAATCTGCCCCATGTGTTCCTTTGCTAATAAACTCTATTCTGATGGAGTTTTTTCTGTGTCCTGGTGCTTTCTCCCAATCAACCGGATTCATCCATTGGCTACTTCATCTATCAGTTAGCAAGTGCCTTCACCCCCTGGAGGTGAAGGCAGAAGAATCCAGGAGTTCAAGGTCATCTTCTAGCATATAACAAATTTGAGGCCATCCTGGGCTATATGAGTCCTTGTTTAGCTTCCCCCCATCTTGTGACTGTATCTGGTACACCTAACCTACTGACTATCACTGTTATCACAACAATAAACAATGGGGTTTCTGTTGTTTCCCTTTGTGACTGTGGCTGACCAGCATTTTGATGTATGTAGTATCTCATGTTGCTACCCTGAGGATATTATTCCTACTGAATGCTTATTGATTTCAGAAGTTAGAAAAACTGTCTATCCTTGAAATTTGTAGACAATCACCATATTTTTTAAAAATATTTTATTTTTATTTTATGTGTATACATGTAATTGCCTGCATGTAGGTAAGAGCACCCGTGTCTTGCAATGCCGGCGGAGGACAGAAGAGACTGTCGGATCCCCTGGAACTGGAGTTATGGACAGTTGTTAGCCGCCATGTGGGTGCTGGGATTCGACCCCAGGTCTTCTGAAAGAACAGACAGTGTTCTTATCTGTTGAGCCATCTCTCTAGCCCCATTTCAGTTGTATTTTAGAAATAATAGCCTGCTGAGTGAGATGGCACACAATTTTAATCCCAGCACGGGAGGCAGAAGCATGTAGATCTCTGTGAGCTTGAGGCCAGCCTGGTCTACATAGTCAGTTCCTGGCCAGGCAGGGCTCCACAATGAGGCTCTGTTTCAATAGTAATAATAATAATAATAATAGCATTTGTCTTTTAGAGATACCCATTAGTTATACACAAACAGTATATGCATGTGGTGTCTAGGATTGTCTCACAAGTGCGATGGGATTAGGGATAGGAAGAAGTGAGTCTACACTAGTCATACCATGCTTTCATATTCCTCCTCATTTCCCTTCATCAGCTTCCTTTGATGACTCATTTGCTACTGTCTGTTTTTGACCACTGAATATTACAGGCCCCCAAGAATCAGTTCAATCAGTCTGCTCTCATCGCTACTCATACTTCAACCAGATTAAGACCCAGTCCAGCTATCTCTCAGAATCCAGACCCCCACACACAACTCCAAATAGAAGGATTAGATTGAATGTCTTTGTTGACACTCAAATTCACACTCATCATAATGGAATCAAATATTTTATCTCCCAAACTTAGTATTATGTTTATGTTGTCTACTTTGTTAAAATGCACCACTGTAAATTAAAGCCACACTCCTTCCCATCTCTCTCTTCATCCAGTAAATTCTCAAGTCCTAAAAAAAGTTTTCCTTTTAAATAGCACCTAAATTTATCTCCTGCTCTCTCATCACTACTAAGATAAGCATCATCCCTTGGCAATACCTCCTAATTGCTTTGAAAATGTACGTTCTCCCATCAACCCAGGATGCCTGCCATAGCCAAAGAAGCTTTTCAGCAAACAATGTCCTGCACAGTCACGCACTGCATGTTCCTAGCCCACCTCTTTAACTTCTTGTGTCAATCTGCTCATCGCATGCCATGAGACTTTATTCTCTTAAGCAGCTTCACCATATTCACTAAGCTTGTGGTTTTTCAGGGAAAGGCACTTCGCTACTCTCACCTCCAAAATCCTTACTTTTCCCGAGTTCTGCTTGGTCAAATTCTTATACACTCTCATGGTGTTATGGTTTGAGTCTGAAATGTCCCCCACAGGCTCATGTATTTGAATACTTGATCCCACTGGTGATGGTGTTTGAGAGGTTATGGGGCCTTTGGGATGTAAGGCCTGCCCAGTAGAAGTTGGTCACTAGTGTGGCCCTTGGAAAGTTAGATGCACTTCTAGTTATAGTCTACTTTCTCTGCTTCCTGGTCCGGCACATGAGAAGCTTTGCCTCCAGCTCTTGCCTCTAGGACCATCACCCTTCACTGCCTGCCACAGTGGGCCAAAGTCCTCTGAAATCAGCAGCCAAATAAATCTTCCTCATTGATGTTGCTCTGTTATGTGGTTTGTCAAAGTCATAAGAAAAGTTACTGTTGTGAGGTACTTCACCAGAAAAGACCACTCAGAGAAAGTTTTGCCAAATGAAAGGCTTTGCTTGCCAGACACAGGGTGTTGGAACCCATATGCAGCCCTGAGCTGACTCTAGTGTAAGCTTTTGTACACAGAAATCATAACCAGGGGTGAAAAGTTTAAGTTCCCAAGTTTACAGGTGTAAAGCCCCCTTAACAATTTATATTCTATTAAGCAACAATTACTATTTTGCAGAAGCAAGCCAAGCATAAACTACAGAAGCCATAAATCTTCAGTTAGCTGGTGCATTCTGGAACACACTGACCTGTTCCCAAGACAACTGGGGTCCTGCTGATGTGTGTTCCTATACCCTGGACCAACTGCATGATAATTTCAGAGACTAAAGTCAGCCTAACCTTCGACATGGCGTAGCTCTGGTCAAGAAGATGCCATATCACGTTACCAAAGTACATGGAACACTCTACCTATCAATATGTAAGTAACAGTCTCCTTTTGTTACCTAATATTTCTTGTCTAACCAAAATGAAAACTTGGTAATGTCCAAGCCTACTTTCATCTTTCCTGGATGGGCTATTTAGGAATTATTAGATAAATAATGACTGTAATAACATGAAGTCCAGGGCAATGGAATTTGCACTACAGATGATATTCTGTTACCATCATTCATTCATTCTTATTTCTGCAAGTGTTCTGATTGTCTGTTTACTGGCACATAGGTAGTGCCCTCAAAGGCTGGAAGAGGGCAACAGAGAGCCACCATGTGGGTGCTGGGAATCAAACCCAGGTCCTCTAGAAGAAGAGCAAGTGCTCTTAATTCCTGAGCCACCACTGCTCCAGCCCCCAACCATCGTTCTTGAATAATGTTCTGTTGTTCTAATACAAACACATGCCAAAACAACTCCAGTCCTAACATATCTTCTGCCCTCTTCTGGCCTTCTCAGGCATTGCACAACACCAGTACACTTACATACATGCAAACAAGACACTCATACACATAAAATGAAAATAAATGATTAGGATGGGTGTGGTGACACATGCCTTTAATCCCAGCACTCAGGAGCCAGAGGCAAGTGGATCTCTCTGAATTCAAGACCAGTCTGGTCTACATAGTAAGTTCTAGGCCAGCTAGGGCTACAGGGAGACCCTGTCTCAAAAAGACCA